GCCGACGACGCCCGCGCGAAACTCGAGGAGGCCGCGGAGGCCGTCGCCGACGCGAAGGCGGCCGACGCCGACGCCGACGCCAACGCCGCCGAGGTCGCCGCGCGCGAGCGGTGCGTCGAGGAGGAGGCGGAGCAGGCCGCGGCCGCGACGCGCGCCGCCGAGGCCGGCCGCGCCGAGACCCGCGCGGCCCTCGCGAAGGCCGTCGCCGACGACGCCAAGGCCGCCGCCGACGAGGACGCGGCCAAAGCCAAGGCCGCGGCCGTCGCGCTCAAGCGCGCCGACGTCGCCGCCGACAAGGCCGAGGGCGCGGAGCGCAAGCGCGACGCGGTCGCGGCCGTCGAGCGCGCGGAGCGCGACCGCGTCGCGGCCGTCGACGCGGCCAAGCCCGAGGCGCTCAAGAAGCGCCGCGAGGACGAGGCCGCCGCCGCGAAGAAGCGCCGCCAGGACGACGCCGCCGCCGTGAAGAAGCAGCGCCAGGACGAGGCCGCCGCGAAGAAGCTCGAGCGCGACGCCGCGAAGCAGCGCAAGGACGAGCCCGCGGCGCGCGCGCTCGAGCTCCTCCAGGGCGACGACTTCACGGCCGAGGACCGCGCGGACCACGCGTGGTGGCTGGAGAAGCCGGCGCCGCCGGCGTGCGCGGCCTACTGCTCCGCGGCGCGGACCAAGCACCCGCTCAAGGCCGAGGCGCACCGCCACTATGTCCCCGTGTGCGCCGGCGAGCCGCCGCTCCCCTGCCCCGTGCGGAACTACCTGAACCGGAAGAAGAACGCGAAGGACGTCGCGAAGAAGCTCTCCCAGTTGGCCTAGGCGTCTAGTCCGCCTAAAGGCCATCTCCCCCGAGCCCCGCGCCGACGACGTGGGCGGCGAACATCGCCGAGTGCGAGGCGTGGGCCGTCAGTCGCCGCTCGAGCCGCGGCTCCACGTCGCAGGCGAGGCTGTCGCAGGCGAAGCCGTCGTCGACCTCGTCCACGCGGACGAGTCCCGCGAAGGGGTCGAGGCACGCAGCGACGCCCGCGTCGGGCTCCAGCTCGACGCCGCCCGCGTCGACGCGGCCCGCGAGGGTCGGCAGCAGCGCGGCGCTGTCCGCCGGGCGCGGCGCCGTGCAGGCCCACGGCTTCCTCGCGCCGCCGCGCCACGCGAGGAGAGCGCGTCCGCCGGCCGGTACCCGACGGCGACGGCGACGAGCCTGCCGACGTGGGCCATGATGTGGCGGCGCGCGACCACGACCAGGGTGGCAACGAAAACGTCGTTCTCAAGGCGCACGGACAGGCCGCCGCACTCCTCGAAGCCGTGGAAGAGCGTCGCGCAGCCCAGGTAGCCGTACGGCCGAGCGCATGGCATGACGTCTTCGCAGCGCTACCACGAGTGATCGTCACGGACCGCGTGCCGCCCCCGCCGCGGTGCGGCGCCAGCTGCAGCGCCGCGAGCCGCGAGCGCGCCGACGCGACGTAGTGGTCCGCCGCGGCCGCGACGGCGTGCCCGAGCACGGCACGGCTACCCGAGCGTCGCGCCGCGCGCCGTCGGCGCGCCGCGCGCCGCGCGTCGCGCGCCGCCCGTCACGACGCGTCCATGCACGTGTAGAGCGGCGCGAGGTGGCCGCCGAACCTGCCGCCGCCGCCTAGCCGAGGCCGAAGCAGAGCACGGCCTAGCCGAGGCCGAAGCAGAGCACGGCGCCAGCTGCAGCGCGACTCCGACGCGCGCGCGGCGTCGCCTCGCGCAGCAGATGCGAACCCGCAGCAGATCTAACGCTTCATGCTGCATGTCGACGCAGCACTCGACGCTGAGGAGCGCGCATCGGGGCTCGGAGAGCCGCTCGTGAGAGGACTCGTGAGAGGACGGCAAGCTGAACCTACGTTGCCTTCGCTTTTGCCCGGGGCATGGCCGGGTGACGGTAAGGTGACGGTCGCCACGCGCTGGCGATCCACCCAGCCTTTTGTTCGATGCCGCGCGTAGCCCACCCG